CAAAGAATTAATGCAAACTTGTAATTATAATTTCGTTTTACTTTTCTGTTGTGATATTTTCCCCTTTTTAACCTGTGCATTTATCCCCACACAACAAGTGAAGTTGTCAAAAGTATCACCTGTATGTGCTTCCAATGGCACCTTCCCACTATCTCATACCCCGCATTGTCGATCTTTAGCTAATTATGTCTATGAGGAAAACCCAACCAGCCCATTCATTCTGAAAATAAACTGAATGTGTGTGATTACAGGAAGGCTTAAGACATATCCAGGAATCAGTCAGAGAGGAGACATCACTGAAGTACAACGTGGATGACTCATTCGCTTGGGCTAAGAAAGAGACTATGATGGAAGTACTTCGCATACTCAGGGAAAGGTAATCAGACGGGTGTTTCCTTGTTTCTGCAGGTGTTTAGGGGGTTTATCACAAGGCTTCGTACCCTGCTGAGTGAGTGATGCCAAATACACAGATGTGTTATGTTGTGTTATATTTTCGTCATCGCTACATCTCTTATGGAAAGAGTTCCATTCCTGGGCATCACGACACACGCAGACACTGACTACAAAACCTAAATGAAACTGGTTTGCCGCTAATCTTGCAAACGGTCTGGTGCCCGATCTTGTGTTTATACTACACCAATGGTGCATTTAGTCAACAGGTCAACTACAAAACTGTAATAAACTGTTTCCTAGCACAAGCTAGGTAGATAAAATAGGCACGGTTTCAACCTCTCACCGTTATTGTCTGTTCATATTTTGACGTTTTTCTGCAGATATGGGTCAGTGGAGGACTTTCTGGAATCGAGAGGATTCACCAAGGAGGACCAAAAAAAACTATGTCATGTCTTATCTTAGAAACACTCCTCTTCACTGTGACTAACATGTAGCAATATTTAATCCCTTAATATCAGTTATGTCAATTGCAGATTATCAATTTCTTTTGAACTGTTGTACAATCAATATTCACACACACACACGCAACATTCTAAGAAAAACGTCACGGGGGATATGAAAGCAAGACGTGTATTTAGACCATCTTTAATAAAGACCGAGAAAATTCATCATTTTCAATGTCGCCATAACGATTTAAACCGTACCCTAGCCTCCTGGTGTGCACCAGTTTGGAGATGCTGAATGCACTGACAAAATGCTTCAACTGCTTTTTTTAATCTGTAAACTGAAAGACAAATCCACATGAATGTTCTTGTTGTGGACATTACTCCAAAAAACATCATAATATGGAGTAATACAAATATATAAACCTTGAATTTATACATGTCCTGGAGGTACCTTTCAACAAACATTGATGTAAAGCGCAGTATAACAGTTCGAATTTACAAAGACAGTCGGTCTGAAAGCTTCTAGACAAATCCACTGACCTTGGTAAGGCTATCATGGTCACTGTGATATTTACTGTAAGAAGCCATTGGTCTGAGACAGTTGATCCATACAAGTACCACCACAGTACTTTCTCCCATCAAAAGGACCGCTGGGCATGTCCACTGACATGATGCAAGATTTGTCCAATAGTGCGTTAGTTTGGATGGAACGCAAGAAACGTTTGATCGACTACTGTCCATTTCAGTTCATAAAGTGTGAATGGAAAATATAAAAATGAGTAATCCAAGTGTAGCTCCTAACAGCGTGTTAAAATTCATATCAAAATTGGAGGGTTGGGGATTTTAGTTATAAAAGTACAGGCAAGAAAATGTACAAATCTTGACAAACTGTTCTTTACCCTTACTCCAACATTCGACATGTTCAAGCTCTTCCCCTGATCACAAGTAGATTTTTTTCACACACAAGGCTCACCAAGGGTTCCACTTGTTTTCAACGCCATCTACGGCCACAGTCTCAGCTAAAAAGGCAAACTTAACCTTCTCTGGTATTCTCAGACACCTTCAAATTCTCTTTGTGCTTTGTTTACGGCCAGTCATGTGGCATTGAATCTTCATAGCTTCTTAATACCAGGGTTGCACTTAGGATGTCTTATTTATTGACTGTAACATTTCACGAGAACAGAATGCCACTTGCACAGTTTCCTATCTCACCAATCAACCTGTTTCTTGGTATTACCCCTTATATATGCCTAAGTAATAAAGAGAATGCTTGACCAAATGGCGTGTAACAATCTCTCCGTGGTTTCGCCAATGAAGTTGCCGACTCCATGGCTGTTGACTTACTGTTTGACATATTTCATGCAGGAATGAAGAATACCGATGCCACCCAGTTCTCTTAACCTTTCTAGATGCCTGGTGATTAAGGAAAAGGAGAGAACTACAGAGTATCAGAATCACTGTTTGCTGTTACGAAATTGTGCAATTGCTTCAAAGGTAAAAGCAAAAGTGTTACAAGCAATCATGAACCTTCCAGCCCAAGTTCAGTCAAGTCTTTCATGAGCTGCTCACTGCATTTTCAGCATTTGCCTTTGCATCATCCAACGAGCAAGACAGTGACAATCTAGCTACAGACACCTGATTATCAAGACAAGACCTGTCAGTCTTAGGTGGCATGCTACAAAGTAAATGAATAAACTATGACCAATCCAAATTCCCGTGATCGTGCTAGGTTTTTGAAGTTGAGCGTTCCCCCTGCTTATTCATCTGTGAGGCGGCTTCTGTTTAGGGACCACCTCAGGCTTTTTTTTTGTGTGTGTCTTCAATTCTATCACTTCCACACTTAGATACGTATAGTCAAAATGGAAGGAAAAACAAAAACAGCTATTTTGAAATTGATCAGTTTGAAATCTTCTTTTCCAAATTAAGTTTGAAATCATTCAGAATGATAAGGAGGGACACAGGATAAATGATCGATTTATTTCAGGGAGAAAAATTGGGGTAATTACATGTATGCACTGCACCATTAGACGATACACACTTTGTAATCACTTTTGCTTTAGGCGCTAGAATTTTGGCACAATTGGGTTGACCACCTCACGCATATCAGTACTCCGGGGGAAACTCAGGGGCGAAGGGTTATTTCATTTCTGAAAGTTACTTGAAAATAGCTCATGGGAACGAGAGATATTCTGTTGATTGACTGTTGATTCACCTGTCGTCTGTTGTGGCCAGTTTGGCCAGTGCAATAGCACAGTTCTCCTTCACTGCCTCGCTCGTTGTGTCTGTCTTAGACAGCAGGGTCTTGATGATGTCTGTGCTGATGAGAGATCCACTGAGCCCTGGTACCTGGGTACAGTGCCCAATAATCAGGGCAGCGTTGGCGATGGTAATGCTGTTCTCTCCCTTCAACAGCTCACAAATGACCTTCAGTTCTGGGGTAATTGGATACTAAAATAAGATATCAAGCCAATTCTAACTTCATTTCAGGTTTCCTAGTTATTGCTAAAGTTTTCTGCTAGATTCAGCACCTGAAACCTTCATCCAGGGCCTATAAAAACGATACCATTAAGAAATGGAGTTCCTCTGTTTATTGTGGATACTGCAACCTAATCTCTTTCAAAGTCTATAAAGTTGAAGCAGACGAAGGTGAGATACAGTCGAACCACGTTAATAGGAGATCCTTCAGACCTGGCAGAGTACCTTGTTATCACAGGAACCTTGGATTTCCAGGAATAAAAACAATGAAAAACAAAGGACAGGGACCTAAAACTTCCTTGTTATAAGCAGAATCTTGTGCAAACTGCTCTTATTAACGAGGTTGGACTGTACATGTTTCCAAATTCATAGGACATGCCAAATACACAGATCACAGCATTACCTTTATCTACTCTCACAAGTTCCTTCCTTGCAATCTCACTTCTCTGTGTCAGTACAGCTAGACACTTAGAGGCATACTGGCCACACCTGTCTCCATCAATCTGGCCAAACGAACAAAGGTGATTATAACGAAGCAGGTGCATCACTGAGACTTAGTTTTTATGTGGGAGTGAGACATCATTATCATGAGATGTCTTCAAATCCCATAACAGAATGAAATACACATGGGTCCTCAACTGCTATTAATCCTATTGTATATAGATTCAGTCTCAGATCGTCACTTGTGTATGTGTCAATCTGAGCTCTGTACTTAGTTGCCAGCACTCCACTGGTGTTGTATTCCCATTTTTTTGTGCAGGGGTACACTTGTGTTAAATGCCTCTTGGGCCAATTGGTGTCTCTATGGCAAAACTGCTTGTGTGCATGTCTTGAGCTTACGTGCTTGAGTTTGGTACCACCAGTTATGGCACCCCCTTGCCGACATTGAAATCCTGCCTTATATGACACTTGAGTTTGGCTGGAAAGGTAGCCGAGTCAAATGTGATGTGTGAAGAGGAAGGGTGAACATATTTTAACGCTGACAAAGTTCACTGCAAATGATAGACGACTTGCTGTCGAATACTAAACTGTTCAGCTCCAGTTATTATCATGGTTATTATTATTATTTATTTCTGGTAATGAAACCAAGGCTTCCTCAAAAGTGCTCAAGGCACTGTAGCTTGCAAGCCTGAAGAAACCTGTGGAGAGGAGACAATGAGAAGCAGTTACAGTTTTAGAGGTGGGAGGAAAACCCTAGAGGAATATTCTGGGAAAAACCCCACGGAATCAGGTAGGGACTGAAAACCCAATCCACATGTGGACTCAGCAGGGAATCGAACTCAGGACTGCAGAGGTGGAAGGTGAGGAAAGAATCACTACGCCAACCTGACTCCAAGTTCTTGTAACATCATCACAATAGCCCATTAATAATACGATGATCATGTTTACCTTCATCACGTGGACAATTTTCGGAATAACATTTTGTTTGATCACATCCACTGCACTCTCACTGGTGTTGGCTAACGTTCGGCTGAGCAAGCCAATGGCTCTCTGAAAATGAATGAGGAGTGTTGGACATGTAAGCAAGAAACCTGATCAACTTCTGCATCTGGAAAATGCCAATTTTTTCTATTAATTCGGGTGACAGGTCCAAAAGGGTTGCTTTTCTTGACCCCGTCACACCTGTCCTGTGGTAATTTGATATGAAACTAAGAATTCTTCAGATGTGACAGGAACATCAAAATAAAATTGACCCCAAATTTGTAGAACGACCCAAAAGTTAATACTGCATAGCACTACACTCACTGATGTGATTTTTGATAAGCTTTATAGCTTACAATACAAAGGTCACGATCGCAAACTGCGGTTTCTGCTACTAAAAAATAAAGTGGAATTGGGAAATAGCCGAGGGATAGCTTCAAGCAAGCTGGTCAGTTGAGTAGTTGAGATTTCAGCGCATGGCCATAGTGAACAAGCTGGTCGATTGTGTCTCTCTTCTGTAGGCGGCAAAATCCCAAATAAGTACTTATGAGTACTTATGAAAACTCATTAGTACTTATGAAAACTTGAGAGTAAAGTACTCAACTCCTACACTGTCCCTTATTACCTGTCTCAATTCCTCATTGTCACTTTCCAGTAATTGCATCATCATCACAAAGATTGATTTCAGCTCCTTCTGATATCCCTCAGAGGGACAGCTCTCAGCAAAGACGTTTATCAAGAGACTGATCAGATCAGTGAGAATCCTCTCCATGGAAGGCGTGGATTGCTTCTTGGAGAATCTCTCCTGAGAAGACACAGTACCATCGGTCATGCAAAGTCATTCAATATTTATTTTCACAAAGAGCCTAATCAGAATGAACTTGGTTCAGGTAGGTTGTGAATAACATCAGGAAAATCTGCATCCCCTTTGACATGAACACCCATGGTGCATGCACAACATTCAAAAACAGACTCTAGGTGCAAAAAATAAAACCCAACAATGATCAAGTGAACCTTCAATATAACTCCCATACTGTGCATACTATTCCATACTCTGCTGTGATTGGTTCCTCAACATTGTGCACTAAACCACAGCAGCCAATAGACCTCATAAAAACTTTTTTATAGTACATACTTTCCTAAAGTGTTCAGAGTACACTGAACCTCAACTGGCTCCATGGAGAGTGTTCAGAGTACGCTGAACCTCAACTGGCGCCATAGGAAAGTGTTCAGAGTACCTCAACTGGCTCCATAGGAAAGTGTTCAGAGTACCTCAACTGGCTCCATAGGAAAGTGTTCAGAGTACACTGAACCTCAACTGGCTCCATAGGAAAGTGTTCAGAGTACACTGAACCTCAACTGGCTCCATAGG